GGCCTGAGCCCGCCCGCGCACCCTCTGCCCGGAGCCCAGGAGCCAGCCAACCCCCAGGATGGCGGAAGCGCACCAGGCCGTCGCCTTCCAGTTCACGGTGACCCCGGACGGGGTCGACTTCCGGCTCAGTCGGGAGGCTCTGAAACACATCTACCTGTCGGGCATCAACTCCTGGAAGAAACGCCTGATTCGGATCAAGGTGGGCGCAGTGGTCCCCCTTGGCCTCTTCCTACAAGCAGGTGCAGAATGGCCCTGGCGAGGAGGCGGCGGCCAGGTGGACACTGCTGCCCCCCGCCGGATCTTCCCTCCCAGAGCCTGGCAGGCAGCCCAGCCCCCCGAGTTTTGCAGGGTGACCACCCTGGCAGTGCAGAAACCAGAGAGGGGCCCTCAAGATGGGTGCGCAGAGAGGCAGGACATAGTCCTGGTGGGAGCAGCAAGTGATCCGCCCTGAGGGTGTGAGAGTGTGCGCGGGGAAACCAGACTCGACCGATCAGAACAAGGCAGAGGGGGGTGCTGCAGGAAGACCAGAACACCCCCCTCACCTGCTAGGTGTCTGCTCACCTCTGACTCCCCATTGTGCAAGAGTCCCACTTCCGTCCACAGAATGGCATCCTGCGGGGTGTATACCCTGGCAGCCCCAGCAGCTGGCTGGTCGTCGTCATGACAACTGTAGGGTCTTCCTATTGCAATGTGGACATCTCCATGGGGCTGGTCAGCCGTATCCAGAAATACATCCCTGACGGGTGAGAAGCAGGGACAGCCATGGGTGCCGTGAGATCGGCCCGCGCTCCCGAGGCTGGGGCTGGGAGCTCAGGGCAGACAGCACAGCGGCTTTCCCGGGGGCCACCACCCTTCTGTCCCTTCTCTGGCGGGTTCTATTAACTGTGCTTGAAGGCTCAGGTACCAAGGAGGCTCTGCTCCTTCGCCACATCCTCTGGAAATGGGCTTCAGCCACAAAGTGACATTAAATTCAGGGACCTCAGGGGCACAGCTCAGCCCTGAGTGGACCCCAGCGCCCCCTCCCACCCACACAGGTACAGCCCCTACCACACCCCACAGACCAAGGCCCTCCTCAGCATGGCCATCTTCTCGACGGGGGTCTGGGCTGCCGGCATCTTTTTATTCCGCCAAACTCTGAAGCTGCTGCTTTCCTATCACGGCTGGATGTTCGAGATGCATGGCCAGACCAGCCATGTCACCAGGATCTGGGCTGTGAGCAGGGCCGGGTGGGGCACAGAGCCCAAGGGGCTTCTGAGCTGGAGGGAGCAGGCAGGCCACAGTGCCTGGCATGTGGTGCATCCTGGGGGCATGTGTGGGACTGGTGTTCCCAGCTCCTCAAGTGTCCCTGGTTCGTGTTCCCTCTTTCTCCCACCCCATACCCTATTTCCTGCACCCCAGATCTGCATCCGACTCCTGTCCAGCCGGCGGCCCATGTTATACAGCTTCCAGACATCCCTGCCCACGCTTCCTGTGCCCAGTGTGGCATCCACAGTGCAGAGGGTGAGGGGCCGGGTTGGGGGTGGGGGGCTGGACGCAGAGGACTTGCTCAAACCCAAGGGACAGTCTCTGATAAAAGCGGACTTGAGAGTGACAAGCTGGAGGTGGGGGAGAGGCCCAAGAGCCCTGCTGTGGGGCCCCCACAGTGATACCTTGACTGTGCAGTACCTGGAGTCTGTGCGGCCCTTGTTGGGTGATGAGGAATACTACCGCATGGAGACACTGGCCAAAGAGTTCCAAGACAAGACTGCCCCCAGGCTGCAGAAGTACCTGGTGCTCAAGTCTTGGTGGGCAACCAACTATGTAAGTGCCTCCACCCCAGACAATCTGCCTCATCTACCAGGCGCCCCAGCCGCCCTTGCCACGAGCTGCCACCAGCCCCTCTAGCCTCCCGCTCCCCGCAGGTGAGTGACTGGTGGGAAGAGTACATCTACCTTCGCGGCAGGAGCCCCCTCATGGTGAACAGCAACTACTATGTCATGGTAAGGACTAGATTCCATCTCTAAGTCTCAGCCCAGAGGCAGCCTGGTGCCCTGGTGAGTACGGCTGACCCATGAGGGCTTATGGAGTGAGGCCAAACAAGAGGAAGTGGAGGGAGATCCTGCCACTGTCCCTCATGTGGCTCTCAAGCCACGGGGCCTCTCCACCCTGCACATTGTCCCCAGGCAAGTCCTTCCCTCCTCTGATCCAGAGCCAGAGTGAGCCAGGCTGTTTCTTTTGAATGTGGGTGTCCTGTCAGATCTGTCCCGTGGCCACTCAAGTCATCAGTGCCCACCAGCCTGTCTTCCCTTGCCCTGTCATCTGCTGGAGTTCCCTCCTGTGCAAAGGCATCCTTTTCTCTTACCCCAAACTCACAGACGATTTTTCTACAACTCAGGCTTTAAGCTGTATTCTTAGCCGTGGTGCCCCTTTTTCAAAGCTAAACAAAATAATCAGGAAGAACAGCACAGGCTGAAGGGCAGGGGAGTGGTATGTGCTGTGGCGTCCTTCTGGAAGGGCACCCTGGTGCTGTGTGCAGGATGGAGTGGGGAGAGGGGTCAAGCCACCTCAGGTGATCAGGGTGGGCTCAGCTGGCCAGAGGCGCCGTGGGGCACCCTGCCACCTGCAGGCTCCACTCTGTCCCCAGGACTTTGTGCTCGTCAGGCCCACAGAGGTGCAGGCCGCCCGCCTAGGGAACGTCATCCACGCCATGATACTGTATCGCCGGAAGCTGGACCGGGAAGAGATCAAGCCTGTGAGTGGGGCAGGCTGGGGTCGGGTGGGCCTTCCTCGAAGGTGATGGTCCTGGGGTTGGGGGAGGGGTGGCCATGTCCTAGGTGTTGGGGTGGACGAGTGGCCATGTCCTAGATGCTGGAGGCAGATGGGAGACCGTGTCATAGGTGCTGGGGGTGGAGGAGCAGCTGTGTCCCAGAACCTGGGGGTGGAGAAGGGTCAGCGTCCTAGGTGCTGGAAGCAGAGGGGTGGCCACGTCCTAGGTACTGGGGTAAAGGGGCAGCTGTGTCCCAGAACCTGGGGGTGGAGGAGGAGTCACGTCCTAGGTGCTGGAGATGGCAGGGCAGCCACGTCCTAGGTGCTGGGGGTGGAGGGGCGGCTGTGTCCTAGGTGCTGGGGGTGGAGGGGCG